TTTTGGATGATATCTGGATATTTGTTTGGTTTGGAGATTTATGAGTTTTGGATATTGTTTGGAGGCTGCTGTGGGAGGGACAGGAAGTCTATATGTGCTATGTATATTACTTGGAAACTTTGCATAGTTTATGGCTGGTTTACCCTGCGATAAAGTGTTTTCCCCTTCAGGTCTGTGCCCTGTCGTGTCTCACCAGATAAGTTGCTCTGGTTGTCGTTAAATTACTGCTGGGATTGTTAAGCGTTAGGCAGTATCCTGGATTGAGTGAGAGGTGATAGCCCACTAGAGGTGAAGAGAGTAGGTAGGCCAAGGACCTTGCTTGAGTTAGTGTGGCTCTGTACAAGTTATAAAACAGCTAGGTATGTGAGTCGGTGGTAGACGATTCGCTTACTTACTGAGTATTTACTAAGAATGATCCTCAGTAGAATCATCATCTCAGACCTAGGACAGATTACTCATAGGCTTGGGGTCTCAGCCAGAAACATAAAAGCTCAGCGTCACATGGTCTGGCACCTGATTTTCCTTTTACAGAGTTTACTGAGAACGTCTGGAGCAGTGACTCCCGATGTGATGTTTCCGGTTTGCAGGATGACTGCCAAAGAGTTATCCTTGAAAAGCAGATTTTCAGGCTTGAGGTCTCTGTGTGCGATGTTTAACAAGTGACAGTGCTGTAGAGCCAAAGCTATCTGGAAAAAGACAAAGTGAAGCAACCACCTCTTAGAAAAGCCCATTCTTTACTATCCCTGGTGCAGAGAATTCATGATATTAAAAAAACAGGCCTTCCGTAAGTCATGTAAGACTGTTTTGTTTCAATTTTAAAGCAGAAATTAAGACTTGGGGTACCAAGAAATAGAAATGAATTGAGCTTATTTTAACTAAATCCTGTATTTTGTTAAACAAAAAGAAAAATATGATACTATACCAATTCTTTGTTAAGAATAAACTGATGGGTAAATCCCATAAGGAAAAGGAAAAATAAAATGCTCACACTTTCATTCATCTGAGGTGTGACAGGCACTTGCAGAGGAAACAGTAAGCTGAGTGACCTTCAGTAGGTATGGGTTGCCCACAGCAAGGCGACAGGCAGGATTGCCTGGCTCAGAAGAGATCTGCACTGTCCAGGGAGATGAACATCAAGCTCTGCCTTCAAGAAATCAGCTGTTTGGATTTTTCCAAATGATGTTCCAATTTGCTCACTCTACTTGTTGAAAGTGTTCCCTATTTGTGTGGATTTGAAGGGTTCTGTTTTCTAGAAGATTATCAGAGCTCAAACTTTAGTCCTCATATTTGAAAAATGAAAGATGTAATTTTAAAAATTAAACAGAACAGATTCTATCTGTTCTTCAACTCTCAGTATGGAATTTTCTCAGCAATCCTAATATCAGTTCCTTCTACCAGAAAGGAGGCATCCAAAAATGTTTGAGGATCATGGAAAATTTGGAGGAACTTTTTTTTTTGAGACACAGTCTCGCTCTGTCACTCCAGGTAGATTTCAGTAGCATCATTATAGCTCATTGCAACCTCAAACTCCTAGACTCAAGCAATTCTCCTACCTCAGCAGGACTGCAGGTACTCGTCATGACACCTGGCTAATTTTTCTATTTTAGTAGAGACGGGGTCTCACTCTTGCTCAGACTGGTCCCGAACACCTGAGCTCAAGTAATCCTCCCACTTCAGCCTCTCAGAGTGCTAGGATTACAGGCATGAGCCACTGTGTCCAGGCTGGAAGAACTTTTTATTAAGACTTTGGGCTATGCTTCCTGCTTTTCTTTGCATGGAATGAACATAAGCCTTGAGAGTTTGGCTTTTCATCTCCACAAGATATGACTGGACTTCTAGTATTGTTTATAACATAAATCATGTCTCTAACAGTAAAATGTGATACAAAGTAGTATGTAACTAGGAATAACCCAAAATTACAAAATCTTAGGATACTATTAAAATCTGAAGAAATGAGAGAAAGGTGACTCATATGTAAGAAGCACCTTATGCTCTATTATCTTAGAATATATTTTTATAGCTTATAATCTTTCAGGTGGTAACAGCAGCATTTTATCTCAAAGTCCAATAATAGTGCTTAGAAGGTACTTGCCTAAAGATACCTACAGTCTACAAAGGAGTTAAGATCACTTTCTTTCCAGAGTTTATTTAAAATCTCATAGTAGCCTCAGGAAACAGTTGACAATAGATAGAGAACACAGTCCCCACCCCCCAAGTATATAAGGGGGTCACATTTCTCTTGACAAAACATCTTTTCTGATTACATAACAAAGCAGGCAATGAGAAGTCAAACAGAGCTTTTCTTTAAGCTGTCTTTTATTCCCCCCCAATGAAATTGCTTGTTAACCAACACTGTTGGCATTTTGGTACAAGGGGTTAACTTGCCTGCTTTGTTACTTGGCTGGCTTGCTTCTCTGTAAAGTGCCGGTGCTGGCTGATTCTGTGAAATAGCTCTCCCCCTTCCATCATCTCCATTACAATTAAGAGTCGAGCCCTGTTTGAAAGCATTTGATTTTGTTAAGTTAAAAAAAAAAAAAAACCCAAAAAACAAACAAAAAAAGCCCAAAACATCAAGAAGCTGACCTAAAGATAACTCATCTACAAAGTAATCACTTCCTAAGTCCAGGGTAACACAGCTACTAAATAAGAGCAAAAATTCTCAAGTTATCAAAAAAAAAAAAAAATCTTTGATATATGGTTACCATTCTCTAATATAAATGCTTATAGCTTCCATCCAAATGCTTTCACCAACAGAGCACAGTCATGAAAAATAATCATTTGATTTCCCATTTGTTTTTAAAATTTTATCTTCCTTCTCCACCTGGAAAATTCCTACCCTTCCTTCAAGTCCTATTGTCCACATAGCCTCAGTGAGACACCTCACCTCCCAGACTGTAGTTAGCAGCTAGCTCCTCTCCTTTGTAAACTCAGAATATTTTTACATATGCTGATCCCATTGCTATGATGACACATTTACATCTCAGTTTCCCCAAAACAAACCAAGTCTGAATTCCCTTGAGGAGACTTAGACCACCACCCAATGTGCTTGCCAAACATTTATGAGTTAAAAAAAATGTTGATTTCATCCTTTAAAAGGAAAGTCAAACTAAGCAAGAAGGGCTTTTTGTTTTATCAGCCTTTAACACTTTTGCCTAGGATAACATTTTGGATCCTTTCACTGATTTCAAATAGAATCTGTTTAAATTCCGCATTAAGTGTTTGTTTTAAGTGAGAAAGTAATCAAAATAACCAGAGGTGCCTGGAGAGTGGGTAGGGGTATACATGAAACAAGACTGGCCATGAAATAACTGTACAGGTTGGGTGTTGAGTACTTGGGGATTTATTACATAATTCTGCCAACTTTTACAAGTGTTTGAAATTTTCCAAAATACAAAGAGAGGGAGATGGAAGGAGCAGGGGGAGAGGAAGAAGAGAGGAAAAGGAAGAGAGGGAGGGGAGAGAGGAAGGGGAAGACAGCATATGAAAAAGAGGAAGAATCCACTACAAGTTGGCCTACATAGGGGCATGTGAAGATGATCCCGTGTAGTCTTACCTGGGGCTGGACTCATGAGGAAACTGTACACTGTTAGCAAACACTTCAATAATCTGAACTATATTTGGGTGTGTAGCACACATCATGTGCAGACGTACCTTAAAGAAAACAGAGGAAATGTTTCTGTATGTAGAGGATACCAACATTTTCTCTCCAAACTTCCCCTCAAAATCTGACCACAGCAGGTCAAGGGGATAACCCTATTACAGTAAAAACCTTATCACCTGGAATGTTAAAAAGCAAACACACAAAAAAAACCAGTGTTTTCATACACAGATCATCTCCTCAATGCTCTTTACATGAGTAAAAACTTCACCAACAGATTTACTTCCTACTGTCTTATCTATTAGCAAATGAAATATTTGGCAAATAACTCATTTCAGAAATTATTCACATTTCTTTAAGAAAAGAATAAATACTTCATTGCATGTGTTACTAGCATGTCACCACATCCAGATAATTTAAAACCAATGTATATTTTTAAAAACTAGAAACACATTCTCAGTCCTCCTGCATCATCACTTTCTACAGATATCACCTTACCCTTCCTTATACTACTTTATCTCCATACTTCAAGTACCTTTTTCAATAAGCAAAAATTAAAGTAAATCTGAATACATCAAGGTACAAGAATCACATTAATTAAAAAAGAACAAGAGGTGGCTGAAAGGAAATAAATTTTTTTTTTTTTTTTTTTGAGACAGAGTCTCATTCTGTTGCTCTGGTTAGAGTGCTGTGGCGTTAGCCTAGCTCACAGTAACCTCAAACTCCTGGGCTCAGGTGATCCTCCTGCCTCAGCCTCCCGAGTAGCTGGGACTACAGGCATGTGCCACCATGCCCAGCTAATTATTTTTTCTATGTTTTTTTAGTTGTCCAATTAATTTCTTTTCTATTTTTAGTAGAGACGGGGACTTGCTGTTGCTCAGGCTGGTCTCAAACTCCTGACCTTGAGCGATCCTCCCACCTCGGCCTCTCAGAGTGCTAGGATTACAGGCGTGAGCCACCATGCCCGGCCAAGACATAAAATTCTTTATGCATCTCTGTATTCTCTCCAGGAAGCTGCCGTAAAAATAACAATTCTTAGACACTTCAAATATTTAGGCAAGTCAAGGCAATAAAAGACCATACCTCATTTCGAGCTTTTGGACGATCAAGAAGAATTTTCAGTGCAAATCGCTCTTGGGTAGATTTCTTCACACAGACTCTAGATTTGTAGAAAAAAGTCAATCAGAGATCATTTATGTTACAGTGAAATTTAAGAAGTCTATTTTTTGAGATTTGTACTTCTAATCAAGGTATGTCCAGGTGCATCAGAACAAACTTGCCAGGAGATGGCAAGGCAAAGCAGCACACTGCCTCGCCAGCTGCCAGTGCCCAGGCCTCAGTCTTGTAACCTTCCCTCCCTTGCT